TGAATGCTCCAACACTGGAAGTTTTTAAGAAGAGACTGGACAGCCATTTGTCTGAAATGGTGTAGGGTTTCCTGCCTGAGCAGGGGGTTGGACTCGATGACCTCCAAGGTCCCTTCCAACTTTATTATTATTATTATTATTATTATTATTATTATTATTATTATTATTATTATTATTATTATTATTATTATTATTATTAATCATCATCATCATCATCATCATCATCATCATCATCGTGGTTTCCACAGCCCGGGTTTTTTAGTGTTAATTATTTTTTTGTTTCACTCTCGTTCAGCTTGTGAGTGTGATTCACGAGGCATCCAGACTCTCCAGTGTAACCGGTCAAGTGGCCAGTGCATCTGTAAGGAAGGCGTGGAAGGAGCCCGTTGTGATAAATGCACCCGGGGCTACGCCGGCACGTTTCCAGATTGTGCTCCTTGTCACCAATGCTTTGCTCTCTGGGATATCATCGTCAGTGAGTTGGCCAACAAGACCCAGAGATTCCTGGAAAGAGCCAAAGTGCTGAAGATCGCGGGGGTGAGCGGCCCCTACCAAGAGACCCTCCACTCGGTGCAGGAAAAGCTGAACGAGATCCAAAGCATCATTGCTCAAAATCCGGCGACCGAGCCTCTTCAGAACATCGGCGACCTCTTGGAGGAAGCAGAGTAAGTAGGAATAAAGGAGACTATTTGTAGCTCCAGGGTTGACGTGAGGGCACCTTGGGGCTCTCTGAGCTGGGTTGCTTTCCTGCAGACGTTTCACTACCCAAGCAGGTGACATCATCCGTGCTAGAGTAAGTATGGCGTACGGCATAAAAGAACATTGCCTGCCATTAGCCCGACCATGGAGGATGGAGTGTCTTGTGGTTGAACGATTTTAACGAGAACTTGGGGAGAAAAAAAGGAGGCAAAGATGGAAACATGGTGGCAAAGACTGTTTCTTGTGAATTTGATTGTAAATGATGGTATCTAAGAATTAGCAAACAGGTGTTCTTACCGATTCTGTATAATTCCTTGTGTGTCTGATCACACTTGGCCAATAAAGCTATTCTATTCTATTCTATTCTATTCTATTCTATTCTATTCTATTCTATTCTATTCTATTCTATTCTATTTTCTATTCTGTATTTCTATTCTATTCTATTCTATTCTATTCTGTATTTCTATTCTATTCTATTCTATTCTATATATTCTATTCTATTCTACTCTGTTCTGGTCTGGTCTGTATTTCTATTCTATTCTATATATTCTATTCTATATATTCTATTCTATTCTATTCTATTCTGTATTTCTATTCTATTCTGTATTTCTATTCTATTCTATTCTGTATTTCTATTCTGTTCTATTCTATTCTATTCTATTCTGTAATTCTATTCTATTCTATATATTCTATTCTATTCTACTCTGTTCTGTATTTCTATTCTATTCTATATATTCTATTCTATTCTATATATTCTATTCTATATATTCTATTCTATATATTCTGTTCTATTCTATTCTATTCTATATATTCTATTCTATTCTGTATTTCTATTCTATTCTATTCTATTCTGTAATTCTATTCTATTCCTATTCTATTCTGTATTTCTTTTCTATTTATTCTATTCTATTCTATTCTATATATTCTATTCTATTCTGTATTTCTATTCTATTCTGTATTTCTATTCTATTCTATTTATATATTCTATATATTCTATATATTCTATTCTATTCTACTGTTCTGTTCTGTATTTCTATTCTATTCTATTCTATTCTATTCTATTCTATTCTCTTCTCTATTCCATTCCACTCTCTTCTCTTCCCTTCCCTTCCCCTCCCCTCCCCTCCCCTCCCTTCCCTTCCCTTCCCTATTCTGCCCTGTACTAGTTTTTGTTCTTATTCTTGTTCCTCTTTTCAACTGGGAAAGCAAAATGGTGAGACCGATGAATCTGTCGATGTAGGAGAAGAGCAGGCCCAGCTGGGAAGCGGAGTTAAACCTGCCAACTTGGAGTAAATTTGCTTCCCAGCCATTTCTCTAAACATTTCTGTCCTCGCGTATTTTACAGACTTTCTGGAGACTTTGAAAGACTGCATTGTGCAACACTTCCCTTCACAGAACGCGGCTTATGTCTTACGGCTTATGCAAAAAGTTCTTCACACAGATGGTTTATTATCTGGGGCATGAAACAAATTAGGGACGGGCCCATGAGCCAACGCAGCATACGTCATTGGCAATATTCAAGCACGTTACGGCAGCCTTATGGAATGCCGAAGTGTGCTGTTTTCCCAAGCTATTTTTCCCCGTTTTGTGTTCCTGAAGCCATGATATTGCAAAGCAGACAACCCCAAATACACCCATCTAGGAGGAAAGACCGTCATAACAAAATACAGATAGTCCTCGACTTAAAAACAGTTGATTTAGTGATCGTTCGAAGTTACAAGGTGCTGAAAAAAAAGTGACTTAGGACCGTTTTTCGGTCTTATGACCATTTGCAGCATCCCCATGGTCACGTGATTTATATTCGGATTACTCATATTTGTGACGGTCGCCGTGTCCAGGGGACACGCCGTGTCCGTGGAGAGAGGTTTTCCCACGGACCGGAAAGTGCGAGGTTTCGTGTGCTGCCTGCATCCCACAGATGGGACTTTGCTTGTTTGTGCGGGCCGGTTGCTGGACCAGGGGTTGGGGACCTCTGACTTCGCAGCTGTGGCGAGCGAGGTCATAAAACGAGGCGGAAAAAAAATCACCTGAGCCACTGTCTCAGCTAGCAACAGAAAATCTGAGCTCAATTGTGGTCGTACGTTGAGGACTTCCTGTAATCTACCCTGAACAGGGAAGAAGGGAAATCGTTTGAAATATGTCTTTAGATTCCGGGTTTGCGTCGCGGCGCATTAATAGCGTTTTTTTTTGGGATTCACAGGAAGCTAAAAACAGATGTGGCCAAAAAGATAACAGAAGTCGAAGCAAAGCTGTCTGCCGTGGCAAACGACAGCAGCGCCGTGGAGGCTGAGCTGAGGGCTTTAGAGGCAGATGCGAAGAGTTTACACAATGCTGTGAAGGAACTTGCCGAACAGCTGGAGTTCATAAAGATCTCCGATGTTCGAGGTTTGTATTTTGAGAACCTCGAAGAATTTTGGCCGGGTAAATCTGGCTTTGGCTCAGAAAGGAAACGGTGGGAAGGGAGCCTCAGCGGATCTATCTCATGAACATTTCACAGCATCTGGCCCGAACTAAAGACTTGAGGCAGGATCTGGGCTTGGGAAGCGGTGAAAATATTTTAAATGGATGAAAGTCACCTGGATTTCTGTCAAACGAACTTAACTGGGCTTCATGGGGCCGTGCTTAATCACGGCCGCGTCGTGCATTTAATTTCGTAGACCGCTTCTCCAAACTACAAGGAGTCCTCAACTTACAATCACTCATTTAGTGACCGTTC